ACTGGATGTTTCTTAGAAATGATGTCCATCAGCTTCACCTGTGAGGGGACCTCCGTCTTCACACTGATCCAGGGGATCTTCACATCTCCATAGCGCTTCTCCACCTCCCCTATCATGGCTTTGATGCCAGCAAACACATCAGTCTGGCTGACACGCTGCGCATCAAATGGATCGTATATGAACAAGAACGTGAGTAAAACATTATCATGCGTGTCCAAAGTGTTCATCACATACATATCGAGGAAGTTGCCGACATAGTCCTGATCCTGGGCAGTGACAGGTAGAATGACCTGCACACGCGTTGCCTCTGTCACATAAGGCATGGGGATAATCTCCACTGCACTTAGAGGGCGCAACAGGTTGACCCGTTTTGCAATGACCTGACTACGGCCTTTCTGCGTGTAGGCTTCCAGTGCGAGGTCCAGTATGTACTCCATACCACGCGTAGGATCAAAACGTCGGTAGCCATTAAGCAGACGGCGTTTACGGAAACGTAGCTGTGGCTGGTAGAGCTCATTTAGACGCTCTACTGCGATCTCCAGGACTGCATTTACATCGGCACGGTCAGCGCCTTTAATCTCACACTTTGGAGAGCTGTCAATGCATGAGTAAATATGCTCTTCTGTAAAGTAATCCCAGTTTATAACTTCAAACCGGGTTCTGGGTTTGAAGGGATGATTGATTCCAATAGGCCATGTGACTCCAGCCTTACCCTCTGGTGTTAGGTCACTCAGGTTGTTGATCTGCATCTGATGAGTACACACAGATGTAAACATTTTCCTTCATGACAAACATCTAACGAACTATCATTAGCAGCTACTGTAATTATGTAATAATTGGCAGATCATAGACAGAATAAGATGACACTGGAATGTACTATTTCATGTCCCAGCAAATCACCCTTGTCTTGGCTTCCTCACATATTTTACCAACCAGGTATTTCAGCTGAAAAACTGGGTGTGGTTGCAGGAGGTCAAATCATAAAAACGCAGGATGAAAAAGCACCAAGAAGTATTACAAACCTGCAGCTGCTGGATCTGTAGGTACGTCCATTCTAGCTCAATATGGCTGAAGCGTTTGTGTAGGCGGTACATAAGGTTCGGTTCTGATACAGGATGAACTGTAAAGGCTTTTTTAAACTGCTCACTGTCTTCACGCTCTGGATCTGCATTTTTCCCCAGCTCAAAGTAACGGTAGGTCATCTCCTGCGAGCCACACAAACACAGGTAAGACCAGAAGTGTTAGACTGGCAATTCCTCCTGTTACACATTTCTATTAGTGCCCATTCGTTAGACTTGTTTTTACCTGGTGCACCTCGACACAACTGAGACCCAGGTAATCAATAATGCAGCGGCCCAGCCACTCATCAGGTCTCACACTGAGGATATCATTGCGGCAGGGGTCAAGATGAGGCTGCAGACGGGGCAGCAGACTGACGGGCAAAAGGGAGGTCCCACACGGAGGATATCATTGCGGCAGGTGTCAAGATGAGGCTGCAGACGGGCCAGCAGACTGCGGGACAACAGGTAGCCATAACCACCATGGCAGTACCTCGCCTTCTCCTCTCCACCAATAAACTCCTCTGCTCTGCCCATGTAAAGGTCCTGACCCGCGCTGAGATGGCCCACCAGCTCTGACAGACGATCTGCCTGCATGTAAGTGTCATCCTGGGCTAAGAAGAACCAGTCGTAGTCTGAGCCGTAGTGCTGGTGCAGGTGACGCACTGTCTCATACATCAGCCACACCGGACGGTCATCACCGTGGGCAACTACAGTCATGCCATGAGGCACCTTGGGGCTGCGCAAGCCCGTGAAGAAAAAGGTGCGGTGGAAGTGGTGGGCAACTGTGCGGTTCACTGCCACGGCCAGCGTGTTCAGGGTGGCCCGAGAGGTTAACACGCCCACCAGCAGGCGCTCTCTGATGCCCAGTTCAGTGTGGATGTATCGGGTTCTGAAGAAGTGGACAAACAGAAAAAAATGAAGAAACAGCAATGAGAACATCAAAACACAAACAATACAAAAGTTCAATAATTCCTCTTATAAGAATCAGCTCCTTTCAATCAGAAGAACTGTAGACTGCAACAAACTTTAAATCTTTTATTGAGATTTTTACAGTCAATAATCAGCTGTAGGATTTGAATAAAGTCATAAGAAAGATGATAAAATGTTTTGCATTTGTCAGTCACCAAGTTTCTACTTCCACACCTGAGCTACTTAACATTTGTACAAACTGGATCTAACCTATAACACAGCTATATCCCACTCTGTGCATTTAGGTTACTGCTGGATAGATCTAAATGAAAGCCTATTCAAAAGAGGTTCAACCAACATAAATCCTTTGGAATCAAATTGTCTCATGTTTCTTATAACAAATCCTGCAAGATATAAAGAACTTCTTTAAGCGGTCTTTGCTGCATATTTTTAGAAAACAGATGTCAGTGACTGCACATCTGTCCACTGAAAGCCACTGACAAAGACTTTTCACAGCTTCTTTAAAGCACCTTTTATGGTTAGAGCACTGCTGTTCACATTAGTGTGATGTTTTCATTTCTTCCAACACCAGGAAACCAGGACAAATACATTATTTTCACACTCACCTGAGGACTTTCTTGTATGGCTTGTTTGGGTCCTTGTGATAGGGCACTATACGTGGCTGGAAGTCTTCATCTCCAGCTTCGTTTCCTAAGTCCCCCTGGGTATTTACTCTGCCCAGAAAAAGCCTGCCATTTCCCAGACCATCTCCACAGGAGTCATCAGTATCCCCTTGTGTCCAGGACACCATCAAAAGACTCAGACTGCAACCCAATGACAGCCCGAGGATGAGGGGTAAAGCAGGCCTGAACAGGGCCAAAAACGACGTAAGACGCATATTTGATAGCTATAAACTAAACTTACTGAGGCTGTTCAGGCAAAATGTCCTACCTACAATGTATCAGAGCATCTGAATATGTGCCAAATCTACAGTGCTAGCCTGTGTTAGGGGAACCAGATGTGTTAACACTGACAGGAAACTGCCTTAAATATCACATTCTTTCATAAGACTCGTGCCGTGAGTATCATCAGTCAGAAAAGATTCCAACAGATGTATTAAATTACAAATGTAATTCATGTTGTTGTATCTTTGGCCTCATAATAAACTAGTTTGTCCCTTTGTAATAACAAATCAGTGCAAACAGCTTAACACTGTTAAAGTTTAATGCAACTTATCCGCTGTCTAACACACTAAACCGGTTATGCTAGTCACTGTCTTGTAAACTACTGAGTGCCTTTGAACTAGCGTTAGGTAAATTAGCTGAACTAATGTCAGCTAGCGTTACCGCTACTTCTCAGGTCCGCTACCTAATGTAGCTAACTAAACGCCAAATAGCACCTGCTAGGTTGACCGTTTGACTTTACGGTAATCAACTGAGATCTAAGAAAGAGAACTCTAAAGTTTCGACCGCCCGATCTGAAATGATGAGCTCGATATTAACGCTTGTGCTGGTGGAACAGAGTAAGCTCGGAGGTTAGCATCGCGGCCGCCGTTTTAGTGTAGATATGTCGCTCCTCGGTCCATCTCCACTGACTCGGAGGCATAGGTTCCAGTTCTTATCGTTTGTATAGGTAAAAATCCATGTAGCGACGCCATGCATATGTCGTCCATTTTCATTAGTTTCTTGACTTCCTCAAAAAAACTGAGCGCCCCACGCACACACACGCACACTCACTCATACACACGGAAAGTAAAAATAACGTCCCCTTCCCGTTTTTCCACCCTCATCATCGCAGACTGCCTGTGCTGCTACTGCAGCATCACTTCTCACTGATGGAAGCGGTGCGATAAGGATCTCTTAAACCCACTGCCCAGAACCTTAGCTAGATAATAACATATTAATATGAACATAATAGTGTAGTACTATGTGAACATATGGACCCTTATGATCATAGCCTCAGATTAACCTCCTAGGGGGTTCCGGGGCAACATTTGTTGTTGAGCCTGTGTATGAAATGAGTAGCATTGTATGTTGTATATTTTTGTATATATGACTGTAGAACAATTAATTTTAGGCTTCTTTTCTACTTTAGTTCTGATTCTTATTTTATTTCGTTGTGTTATTTATTATTAATATATTTTAAATGTATTTTCTTATAGTTT